TGCACACCACAGCACGCAACGCACGCGACGCACAGACATACACGCACACGAAACCACACACACATACACACACACACGACAGTACACACACACGCACACATCACACATCACGACACACATACAGCATGACGAGCACGGCATGCTCCGTGCTCATCATCACACATATATCACACAAACACACACACCACATCACACACCACACACACACACACCATACACACCACACACATCACTTCACACGCACGCACGCAACGCATCGCAAGCACGCAGCGCAGGCAACCGCACGCACGCACGCACGCAGCACTTACAAGTCACGGCACATGCGCAGACTGGATGCACCTACATAGGGCAAAACACAGCGGGCCGAGTTGTTCAATGTTAGACTAACTTTAACACTTGATTTTGTGCGTCTGACAACGGTCTACGTTAATACAGGTATAATATTTCGACCTTTTTAATAACAGAATATTCGACATTTTAACAAAACATTTCGACAATAGCGATGGCAGTTGACAATTTTTTATGTATACGTATGAATTTAAACCCTATTTAACTGAAATATGCAAGAAACATCTAGCTGTCATGGTATTCTTCTCTAAACTTCCGCTGTGAACGATGCAACCAACGCTTGGTCAGCGTTCGTTCCGGAGTCTCCCCCCGCTGGCTGGTTTGTCAAACAACTGCGAGAAGGAATGTTAGCAGTCAGCTGAGCGAGATCGCAAGAGTCAACCAGGAGGCGCTGCCAGGCACAACACCATCGGAAAGTGGACGAGGAGGTGAGGTGAGACGAAGCGTAAGCATAACTAAATTTGTTAATTAATTAACATAACGCTTATTTATTTATATTTAATATAATTCAATTGATTAAGTATTATTAGGTAAACGTAAAGCAAGAATATTGAAATAAATAAATAAATGTACAAATTAATTAGATGAAGCTATATTAAGACGTGTCATACATCCGGCCCATAAAGTGTAGAGAACACATTACTCGTCATTTGCCGCAAATTGCCCCCAGTGTTCACGTATTTATAGCTGCAGATTAAACCCTAACAGGGTCAATCTGAAACCCCAAAGAATCTCCCATTGAACGAAAGTACCAGCGGTTTAACTTCCTGGTCCTCACTTAACCTAGCTTAAAAAACGTTTAATAGCTTTGCTCCACTTATATATGAAATTATACGAGTTAAGATATGAAAACGTGAATAATAATTATGATATATACTTTAACTTTTACTCAACTTAGATTCGCTGCTCACTCACTAGCCGCACGCTTTGCCGTATTGCTGCACGTATAGAAAATTATTATAATAAAATTTAAATATATAATTAATAATAGTAAAGCTAAAACTAAATAAAAAATAATAAAAAAAAAATAAATAAATTATTAATAATAAAAATAATATTAAGTTTAATATTAATTATAACTATTGCATTATGAATATTTTAATAGTAATTCGAATAAACTCTTATTATAGAGAAATCGTGATGGCGATGTGGAGGCTCTAGAAGGCGATATATCATAGATATGTGTGCGAAACGTAGCTGTGATGAGAAAGAAACGCTATAACCTCATGTTCCAGTGTAGTTGTCGCACGCCTGTAACACTAACACACATGTATATGAACATCTGTGTGAGAGAGGGTGAGAGAGAGATGAGAGAGGGGAGGGAAGGAGAGAGAGAGAGAGAGGAGCAGGAGAGAGAGATAGGGAGAGAGAGAAGAGAGAGGTAGAGGAGAGGAGAGAGAGAGAGCGAGAGAAAGAGAAGAGAGAGAGATAAGAAGAGAGAAGGAGAGAGAGAGAGAGAGAGAGACGAGAGGAAAGAGAGGAGAGAGAGTGATGAGAGAAGTCAAGAGTCATATACAAAGGAACAGTGGGGGGATAGTAGATCTAAACTCGTTGACAGGCAGAGTCATCGATAAAATCTTTGGCGCTCTGCCTTCCTCGTCGCCTCGATTATATTAATAATATATACAGCTACAACATCACACACACAGCGCACAGCACACACACACACCACATCACACCACAACACACACCACACACACACACAGGCACACACACATCGCACATATATATTATACAATAACGATATATAGTATATATATTATAATAGTAATATATATATATAATATACTAATTATATATCATATGTATTGATATTAGTATTAGATTAATTAATTAATTAATTAATGATTTAAGTGTATGCGCTCCCTCCCACCTCTTCTAGGTTTTGTCCAGCTGCCATTATCGTACTATGGCCTCATTATATATTACTATATTCTTGTGTTTGCAGGCGGATTATAGCAAAGCCCTGTCCATATATATATATATATTAATCATATAATACATATACAATGATAATTTTATCGACATGATTATCGTTATTATTAGTTGGGTATTGTTGATATTAATTTTTTATTATGAAGTTGTTTCAAATATTATCATGCATTATAAAATGTACATTGCTCTTTATTTTACGATATCTTTGTGTTTGCAGGCGGATTACAGTAAGGCGTTGCCCATGCTCATCTTCGGAGCACTTGCCATAGCGGCCAGCCTGCTGGCACTACTCCTGCCGGAGACGATGGATAGAGACCTACCTGAGACCATCGAGGATGGGGAGAACTTCGACACGTAAGCAGCTAGGGGCCTGTTACAAGGGCGTAGCCAGGAATTTGGATTGGGGGGGGGGGCTCGAGCGAGTGAAAGTTACATTGTTTTGAGTTAAATGTAAAAATAGTGCTTTAGAATCAATTTAGACGCTGTTTTGTTGACAATACTATTTCTTCTGCAGCTCTTTTTTTTAAAATTTTTAAATTTTGTTTTAATTTTGTTTTGGATTTTGATTTTGATTGGGGGGGGTCCTAGGGCCCACAGGACCCCCCCCCCTGGCTACGCGCTTGGCCTGTTATTAGTAAGCCGACGTGTAGTCATGAGAATCGACATCGATCAGTCGGTAAGCGGGAGGGTTCTTGTATTTTCGTCGTTTGTTGTTTGTGAATGGAATGTGTAGGGTGGGTGCATGGAAATGCGATATATATGCGTGCGTGCGTGCGTGCGTGTGTGCGTGTGCGTGTGCGTGTGTGTTTGTGTATGTGCGCGTATATGTGTGTATATATATATATATATATATATGTAGTTATAAGGGGCGGGGCTTGAGGTATAGGGGTTCGATCAGGGCCCATTGTTAGTAACATCGTAAAGTTAAGACTAATTCTTCTACCTTTCATGAATTGTTCAATTGCAGCACACAATATTGCACCAATAGATCTTAACTCGCCCACCTTATATTCATTCTTCTACCTTTCACGAATTCTTCAATTGCAGCGCGCAATATTGCACCAATAGATCTTAACTCGCTCTTCTTATATTCTTTCTTCTATCTATTTTTAACCTACTCGGCTGATGGCTGCTCTTTTGTCTGTCATTAAGCGTTTCATTGCAGCGTTCCAGATCGCCGCGGTTGTCCTGGCAACGATTGGCAAGTTCATGGTGACGATGGCATTTAACGCGATCTACTTGTACAGTGCTGAGATCTATCCCACGGTGATCAGAAACGTGGGGCTCGGTAGCAACTCGGTGGTCGGCAGAGTTGGATCTATGACGGTGCCTTACATTACTTTGCTGGTAAGTCATGATAGTAGTAGCGTTATACAGTGTATGTGTGTGTTGGGGGGGGCGTGCGTGCGTGCGTGCGTGCGTGTGTGTGCGTGTCTGTGTAATAAGCTATACATATTATGAGCTATATCTATCTAAGGCTGACGATGCAGTGTGTGTGTGTGTGTGTGTGTGTGTGTGTGTGTGT